AGAAGAGAGCTATATAGTCCCTAGTCAAAAAAGCATATTAAAAGAATTCTGATCCAATGCATATATAAGTAGAGCAGTATTTTTACCATCCAAGCCTTTTGGCGACACATCCTGAAGCATTGATCCACATTCTGTGACAAACCCCACAGCCACCTCAACACTGTCGTCAGTGGGATTTTCCAGCAAAACAGCAAGGAGTTCTAGAGCAATAATCTCATGAGCTACTTGCTGGTTTACAAGATGTGCTATAAATTTAACAGCAGCTAACAATTGAGGCTGTAAATATAATAAACAGGTGAAGACAATCAAAAGCAACTCAAAGTATTAACAAATGTTCACAAAAGCAAAAATCCTTCCAGTGAAGTGAGTAGGTGCAGACACACACCTTGTCATTCCGTTTGAATGCTCTCTTTAGCTGCAGAACTATCCTTCTCAACAGAAGATCACCCACCTCAGGGAACTTGGTGTTGACAACAGCAACCAGTGCAGCAAAAACATCAGTGAATCTTGAAGATGCCATCTGTGACTTCATACATGACCGGCAAAAAAGTCCCCTTCCCCGTATCAAATTCTCAGAAAACAGTTCTGGGATGATATTCTTTATATTAGAAGCATTAACCTTGTTCACAAGTCCATTAATACTCTTACGTAGAGCATCCCAAGTCAGCCTTTGGTACTCAGTACTACTTTTGTCTTCAACCTCTTTCATCATCCTCGCCAATCTAAATGGAGGAATATAAACCCCACCGGTCTTACCCAAAATCGAAGCATCGGCACCCCCATTTCCTTCTTCCACTGCCATTTCTCTCCTAGGTTTCGACTCTTCAGCAGTCCTGCTACGACCATCCTCTTTCTCCTTCAAATTCTCTGCTTCTTTTCCCATCTTATTCCTCTCCTTACCTCTCCCGTTCCTTCTATCACCACCATCATCATAATCTCTATCTATACGCCTCCTATCCCTATTCCTATCTTGCTCCGATTTTGTTCTCACCACACTATCATCCTCATCATCTAAAGCCCGATGCCTTTCATGTCTGTCCCTCCTTCTATAACTATCCTCAATTTCTCTCCTTCTATGCCCATTCTCAAACCGATCATTTCTCTCTCTTTCTCTCCTCTCCCTCTTCTTCCTCCTATCATCCTCTTCATCAGAACTCCTACTAACCCTTTCCTTTTCCTTTTCCTTTTCCTTCTCCTTCTCCCGCTCCCGATTCTCTCGCCGCCCCTCATGACTTCTATTTTTCTCCACCAACTCTCCTTCTTCCTCAGAACTCTCCCTAACTTCCTTCCTCTCTCGACTAAATCTCTCCTCATCTCTAGCCCTATCGATAAGTTTACTCCTTTCACCGCGCTTATCTTGTTTTTTCTCTAATGATTCATCACTTTCAGCCCTATCGCGACGCCTACTACGTTCGTCGCGCTTATCATGTCTCTTATTATCTAACGATTCATCACTCTCATCTCCACGGCCGCCCCGAATACGATGACTATCTGATTTTGAATCTCTTTTACTATCACGAAGACGACGCCTGTCTCTCTCTTCATCACTAGATTCAAGGCTGCTGCTGCTGTATCTTCTCGGCATAATTGAAATTCAAACCCTAATTGAATCTTAAGACTATACTAATCCTTTAGCATATTAATAAAAACCTAAAGCTGTTGAGAATAATTTACTTTCGCGCACCTTAAATCACAAATTGCGGAGAGAGGGAGACGGTGGTGAGATGTGAAGGAGATCGACGAGGAGAGAGTTGGCTGTGTGTTTTTGAATAAGAGAGGCCGGGGGTCGAGTGGCGGATGGTATTTTTATTGAGATGTCCAAACAAACCCTTGAGCTGGCAATGGCTGTGGCATTCCTCATGAAATCGTCCCTAAACTCCCTACTAAACGATTGGCCGCCCTAGCATGAGAGCGAAATTTTCTTAAACGTAAAAAAAAATTATGCAAGTGGATATATTTTTTTTAACATGACTAAACCTTATTCAATAATTTAAATTTAAAAACTCATTATCATGTAAAAATTATCTAAATATAAATAATTAATTTAATAAGTTTTAAAAATAACCGAAATTTAAAAAAAAAATATAAATGAAAAAACAAGATCAAACATGCAGGTGTAATTAACCCAACTTTTTAGAACATAAAAATATCTTAAATGTTTAAGTTGATTTAAATCATTTTTTTTTTAGGGATGGATGACCCTTATTTTTTTAAAATCTAATCTCATCTCATTAAATTGTAGAATGATTCAATTAAAATAAATAAAAGTTTATAAACAAAACAAAAAGAAAAATTAGAAACTTCATTATTTATGTAAATAATAAAACACCTAGGGTTATATCCCATATATTTTTAGTTTATAGGTAATATGTTTTAATTTAAATTTTTTTATTGTGTAGATTATTTTACTTTGGATAATAGAAAACTTCCTTTTGTATTTTGAGATTTGTTTTTATTTTATTGTTGATTATTAATTAATTATTTTTCAAAAATTGGTGTCAAATTAATTGCAATGTGCCTTTATATTTTAGATCAAATATGTATTGAAAATTATGCTATTATTTCTAAGATATAATTAAGAATCTATTCGTAAAGTATATTGATTTAATTTCTTAAAAAAAGAGACATTAATCATTAAAAAACATTCCATAAAGTAAAACTTCCCTATAGTTTAACAAAAAGTAAATTCCTAAAGAAGGAAAAGGAAAACATTGATTGAATAAGAAATTCCCAAAGGGATAAATTTTTTATAGTAAGAGTAAAATAATTGGAAATATATGTTTAGTTTAAATCCTAAAATATATAATAAATATTTATTTCCCGTAAGAATGTATGGAAAACCAAAAACAAAATGATTGGTTTTGTATAATCTCAACACAACCGAATAACAAAAACTTATATATTAAATTATATTAAAAAAAAAAAAACAATGGTGTCTATAAGATCCGGGCTTGCACTCATGGGTCTGAGAACTAGGCCCGTATGCACATGGACTAGATGTGCGCAGGCTAGCGTCAGTGCTTTCCATTTCTTTCTCCTCCTCCTCCTGCATCCAGGGATTAAACCTTGATATTAACTAGTGAGGCTGGAAACTGGAATAAATGCTCTCAGAAATTAGTGAAAGAATTGTGAAATATATTAAATATTTAATATATTAAATATTTTCTTCAAAAAATACCATAAAAAACCCTAATAATGGAGCAAATACTATATGAATTGAGAGATGATGAACAAGGAAAATGAATTCTGGTGAATAATAAATTGTGTGCAAGTTCCATGGTGAATATTTTTTTGGGTCTTGAGTCGAAAAAATTAATTTCCATTTTAGTTATTCATCTTTTTATTCTTTTATTTAGTTTTTATTCTCTCTTCTTTTGTACCATTTTCAAAGGGGTAAAATAAATTCATAGCCCCTTAAGCTTTTCAAATTGGTCAATGGCTTGCAATTCTAGTTATTCGAAAAATTGGGTTAGGTTTTTTATCAAAAAAATATTTTTCAAAAACATCTAATAAATATTTTTTTATATCAATTAACTAATTTTTTTAACTCAAAATACCCAAAATAAGTCCAAAAACACAAAACCAATATGAAAAAAAAATCCCTCGACCCCAATCAGTCTATAGAGATGTACCCTCATCACCAACCTTGACGTCTTCTCTGCAGAAGCTATATTTGGGAGCCTTCTTCAATATGATGCTTCCCTCTTCAACTTTTATCATAGAATCCTTGTGGAACAGTTGGGAATGAACAAGAATGAAATTCTGGTAGATTCCAATGTTCAGTCCTGTATAAAACTCTGCATGGATGTTCGACCCCTGCATATCAATAAAAATCACAAGTAACTGATCTTATTAACACTTTGTAAGCATGGTTATTAAATCTGGACTCCTTTCGACAAGTCTAATTGGCAATCAATTCAAAACCTGACTCGAGTTGAATTTCATTTCAAATCATTTTGAATATTAATTCAACTAAACACAAGTGAACTAACCAGGTCAACTCCAAAGAAAAAAAAAGCCTAAAACACGTCATTTTGAACACGGATTTACTTAGCAATCTTGTGACCTCAGCCCTAAACAGGGTTAAACTCCTGACTGGTCGAACAACTATGTTTTCTAGAGGAATATTAGATGCAAAAATGTGGATGATTCTAATAGTATTCAACATACGACCATTTGCTGCTGCGCACTCCATTGCAATGTCCATTGCAAATTTCTGGAACCCAGTAACAGCCACTCGCTTGCCTTTTACAAAATTATGAGCACTTTCATTATCCATGTTGGCATAGTCCACAGCATGGATAACCTTACCATCAAATACTTCCGGTCCCTTGTCAGGAGGAGATTCAGGAATCTTTGGAACATCACTGAATCGGCCGATGCAAAGGATCACAAAGTCCACTTCGTATACCTGTTTTTTCAATAACCTTGATAGGACAGCAGGATTTCAGAAACCATGTGTTTCTATCAGACTAATGCCAAGGGGATCTGAAACATTTTAACATATTTTTTGCACGTCCTTTGTCCAGAAATCTAAGTTTCGTTGAAACGTGCTGGTTAAATCACAAAATTGAATCCCATAGAGCTGTTTTCATGGAATTTTCTCTCCTCTGAAAAAGGGAAAAAAATCTCGTTGACTCTATATCACATGGAGATCAAAGGCATACCCCACTTGAAAGGCTCCCCTTGCCTGGAGCACTCTCTTAGCTTAGCTATCTACCAGCAAGAAGGATCTTGATCTATCGTATTCCTTTGTTTCAACTATCCATTTCCCTTTCGAGCTGGAGGGCTCACAATTGCCACCCCATAGGCTTCATGACCGCATCTCTTCATCGGCGGGCCCTTCATACCTGATGCCAAGAACCTTACTGTTGAACTTGATGTGCTTAAGCAAGTCAAAATGAAGTGCATATGACTGCTGTCAGAAATAATTGATTCTTGTGAAGGATAATCAAATTTGAAAAGGCTATCTTATTGAACTGAAACAATGAGTTGGCTATTAATAGCCTTACAAGAAACTTGAAACAGAAATATAACAACCCACGTCAAACAATCTCTAGGTGGTTACTGGCTAGAGGAGAACAGGGCAATCTAAACAATCGTAAACTACTGCCAACAAAACATTTCAAAATAACTAAACAACTTTAACACAGATAATCTAAAACTTGATTTTGGTCGGGAAGGAGCTGTGTGACTGAATCTGGCCATGGAAAATCTGAGAGCTGATATACTGGCTTAGGGGACTGGAGCTTCGTAGCCTCTATAGAATTAGTCCAAACTCCTCCAATCTTGTTTCTTAAATGACAACCAAACTCATTGGCTTAAATTAAAACATTGTGATTAGCCACCTTCTCCCCAACGAAGATACAAGGCTTTAGCTTGCAATACACAAAGGATCAAAATTTGCACTTCAAGACTGCTTCTCCTCGTACATGCCCTTGAACTGCCTCCTCCAGCTTCTCCTTTGTCACCTGCATCTCATCCACCATAAATTAACAGAACCTAAGAAACAAATAAAAAACGGAAATACCAGTTAACTAAATATGTACGCACCTTGTTTCCTAGATGCAATTCATCATCCAAAGCATAGAGCTTGAACTCAAACCTATGTCCGTGTTTTGGCAGGACTGGTCCACGCCATCCAGGAAGCTTCCAGCCATTAACCCCTTCTTTGATCACAGCATATTCAACGCCAAACTCTTCTTCTTTTCCATAGAAACCTTCAGGAAGACGCTTCACATGAGGTGGTATGTTAACCACTACCCAATGTGGCCACGGCACATTAGGGCCATCAGGGTCTGATATATCCAAGTCCTGCACCACAAGAGCTAGGCTCTTGGCTCCTTCTGGCACGTTGTACCATTCAACTGGTGGAGATAAGTTCTTTTTCGCACCTTGACCTTCTTCCGTGTACTTCCTTGGTAACCTTCCTTCATTATCTATCTCAGGTGATACCAGCCTGAATTCATCAGCCATCACTAACTACTACCACAAGCTTAGCTTTGATAGGGTTTTGTCAAGTTCACTACCCTCATTTGAAGCTGTATATGAAGATGATTCATCAAGGTTGTATGGGTGCAGGATACGTGGTGGAAGAAATTTCGAGGTGTCAAGAGAAGGTGCACGAAGAATAGATGGGTGCAGACACATGGACGTACGCGTGGAGAAAGGAGAAGGGTTTTAGACGATCAATACTAAAATGTTCTATGACTTGTTGAAGTAATTTGCTTAAGCTAAAGAAATTGATTGCATTTCGTTAGAAATGAAACCAGCAAGGCATTAGCCTGACCTCCTAGAAGAAAACAATTGCATTACAGTTTGAGCTGTGCACTTTGTGCTGAATTTTAGTGCAGATAGACTACCACTTCATTTGGCACAAAGGACTAGGAGGATAAATAAAAGTAGAGAGATTGCATGGAAGAGATTGAGTTTATTCTCTCTTTGACAATAAAGACAAGGACCCGAAGAAGAACCCGAAAAATCCCACTAATGCTTCCTTAATTCTATACCTCATGATTTCAATTTAGATGGATCTTCCATTTTAGACGATCCATCATTCCCCTTGTCCGTCCCTCTTGACAAGCATAGCCTTGGTTAGTAATAGAATTTCAAGATTAGTCATTTAAGGCCGCGTTAAAAGCCTAGAGAGGGATTAAAGAAACATAATCATGTTTCATGGACCCAAGTACGCTCTAATTAGGGAAGAAATACAGCGAAAATTGACCAGAGTCAGCAGTAGCGAGACAGAAATCACATGCAGAGCATCAAAATGGCAATGGATCATTAGACAAGCAAAACACAGATAGAACATTGCAGCTCAAACAAGATGTTGAATATTAATGTGAAATGGTATCCAGGGAATAAGTCCATAACACAGTGATTCCACATAAACAGGGTCAGGGACAGCTCTCGTCTCAAAGCATAACAGCAACTGAAATAGTTTGCCACGGACCTTCAGAATGAAGACCAACCGGGGGATTATATCTTCAGGCCCCTTAAGCTGCTGGTACAATTGACTTCTTCTTTGTGATGAAATGCTCTAGCTATAGAACTTAACTTCGAATGACTCGATACCCGATACCAATTAGCGAGACACAGGGAAACACAAACGTTATTGCAGCAGTTTTAGGATTAATGGCTATTGTTTATGCGAAGTTTCAGGTAAGAGAATAAATCAATCTTCATTCTAAGAGATATCGTAGGGGTACTGATCCATCAAACACCATTTCAGCTGGGCCAGTCATGTACACATGATTGTCTTCCTCCCTCCACTCAATCTCCAGTGGACCTCCAGGTAGATCAACCGTGCAATTCTGTTTAACAAGAACATTAGCAACTAGTGTGTGTGAAGAAGAAAAAAATACTGATCAGATATCTAATACAAAAAAAAAAATCAAAATAGTTAGCATCCAGCAATAACTCTAGTAATCTCTGAGCTTGAAATAAATGAATCTTGTTTGGAAATAGAAGATGTTCAAAGACTTGCTATATAACCTGTAGGCAAGTTTAAACTTTTAATCTGAAACTTACCATCCCAGCACGTCCCTCTAGAACTGCCGCAACAACTGTTGCGCAGGCCCCAGTTCCACAGGCTAGTGTTGCTCCTACAATCCCAGAGCCATAATGTGAGTATTCCAGTCAAATAATCATAAAGGATTAGTAGATACAAAACAACATGGTAGCAACACGTGATTTATGAACTAGATGCAAAACCACTTGGTAGCAAAACGTGATTTATGAACTATGACTGCAGAATACATGAATATATCCATTAATGTCCATGGCAAACTAACCTGCCCCACGCTCCCATACACGCATTTTGAGATGTGAAGGGGAATAGACTTGCACAAACTCTGCAAATCACGTTAAAAAATAAATAAAAAGATGACAAGTAAATTTTAGCAATGAGATCCCACAGCGAGTGGTCAAAAGACAGCAGAGAAGTACTGATCACCAGATTTATGAAATATTACTGCTTGAGGATGCAGGCACAAATATCTCATCAATGCAGGCAAATTCACATGCTCACTCATGCATGCGATGGCAGAGAGCAGTATATGCACACTAGAGTGGGTTTGAGATTCTCAAAGTCCTCAAAGACAACTTTCGGAAACAACACAACTTCTGATTTGTTTTTATATGTATTTTCACCTGTAAATACTTGTCAAGTTGCAAAGTGCAAAATATAAGAATTTAATAGATAAAAAAATGGATAACCATCCTCACACCATCCTATAGTTTCCTCAATTTTACACTGCGTGAAATTTATAGAAAACATGCTTGGTCAACGAAAAATCTCAAATCAATTTGAAATGACCAAAATAACCCCATATATATTATATATAAAAAAAACCTAAATGACACCCTAAACCTTCTCTCTCTTAGATTTACAAATTCTTTCTCTTCATAATCAAAATTCTCTTTCAAAACCTAAATTGATTACAAAATCACAAGTTATGTCATTTGTAGTCGATTATCTTGGAAAATTTCTTTTCATTTGGAAGCAAGCTGTCTCCTCTCATCACCAACTGCTGGAATCTCTCTCTCTAGTGTTGGTCGTCTGGAGCTCACCAACAAAAAGGTATGTCTCAATTGTTTTTTTGAATCAAGACTTCGATAATCATTGTCAGCAGGTTTAGTTGTTAAATATTGTTATTTCATTAGAATATAGACTTTATGACTCAATTTAACCACAAAAACCTAAATTTGTAACTGTTGAACCGTAGATCCCAATTCTAAAAAATCCTTAAAATTCAATTTTTATTGTTCAAACTTTGATATTCAGAATCCCAAATGGGCTTTGGTTCAGACCCTAAGAGTTTTGCCACAATGTTAGCATTGTTTCCATTATGAGCTTGTCAATAAGTGGCTTGCCACTAGGTCAATTTGCCTACACTGTGGAGCTTTTACTGGAGCTGACTCAGTTGTTTTATCTATCACAATAGAGTAAACAATGAAACCCCGGTTTATATCTCTGCAGATTATGCCTGTAAATGAATTAGAGTACAGCAATTAAATTATGAATGTACTTGCAAAGCATTGCTCTGTTTGTCTCTTGAGTTATGAATATTTTTATAAGCGCAAGAACCTTGTTGCAGATATGTAACAAGAAGGTGGATATAATTGATAAAAGTGAAGGAGCCTTCTATAATCATTTTTCTCATAACCCAGCTGCGAATTTCTCGATTTTATCCCTCCGAGGATTACAAGTGTTGTTGCAATGTGTATTGATTGCCATTTATTCTATGAATTCTCTCAAAGACTTAAATCTCTCCTTATAGGATTTAGGGCCAGGAATTCAATAACACTTTCTCAACATTTTTTAACAAATCAGGGCTGAAAATGAAATGCTAAATCAATTTCTACATCCTTTTTCAGTTTTTTTCTTTTTTGAAAAAAGAAAAGAAAAAAAATGTATGCATCGTTTTCAGCATTTCTAGCCAACATTAATGCTTTGCAAAAATTCTACAAATAACTGGCGTGCTACTGAACATAATTCCAGGACATGCCAACATTAATGTGGTTGATGTATTTTGGCAGCTGGGTTTAAGAATTTTTGATAGTTGAATTGAAGAATTATATCAGCGTTTTTATGGCTTGTGCTTATGTGTGTTTTGACGTAAGAATATTTGAATTTTTGGCAGTGGAATTGGTGGAGAAGAAATGAGTTTTTTTTGTGTATTTTTTATGGAGAAGAAATGTGTGATTTTTAGGAGAAGAAAAATGGGTGTTGAAATGTGGTCCAGGAAAAAAAAATTTGCAACGATAACTTTCTTCGTTAATTTGATTAATTTGATGCACCGGGGGTTCTTCAGTCTTTAAATGATATATAATGGAAAATTTGTAAATACTTTGATTTTTTTATTGATTTTTTTTGTGCCATGTAAACTATTAAAAACTTACAAAGTTCAGGATGTTTTCTGTAATTTTCAAACAAAGGGTAGAATTAAGTAAACTACAATATGATCAGGTAATTTTGCGGAAAAAAAACAAATCCCAAAAATTGCAGAACTTTAATCCATTTAACATACACCAGACAGGAGATCATTAATAAATCATATGAGGATACCAATTCAATGAAAGTGCCAAGATTTTTAATCATTCAAAGGATGTATGAGATCAAAAACTTCAAAGTTAAAATCAATGTCCTATCAGGCACTCCTTCCATAGACCAAAATTTACGCAGAGGGAAAAAAATTCAACATAATCAAGCTTTGGAAACTGTTATAATCCAAGACTTTTCACCACGAGTACTAACCAGTGTTTGTTCGTGCTGGGAACACCTCATGATGTTCGAACTTAGGACCAATTTGAGCCAAATTTAATGCATCAACCTGCAAATCCTGTCATCACAAACAGAGAAACAAAAAGCATCAATAACTAACCAGCAAAGAATACCAATCATACCTTCCCAGTTAAGCCGTAACACTCAAATGCCAAAGTTTTAACCAGAAGTACATACCTGCCCTCCTTTGATGCCAAAAGTGACACAATGAGGATTCCCCATGCTAACACAAGTTACATTCCAAGTCACTCCATCCACAACCAATTCCGACTGAACAACAGCATCATTCTTATTCGCAGCCAATTTCGTCGGCACATCAGCTGCTTTAAGCACCGGCTCTCCCATATCAACCTTAACTTTCCCATCTTCTTGAATCTCAGGAACAATCAAGCCAGCACCAGTATGCACAGAAAAACTCAGTTTCTTCCCATGTAAATTCTCTAGCTTAGCAATAAACCTTGCAAAACACCGCACCCCATTTCCACACATCTCCGGCTCACTACCATCAGAATTAAATATCCTCATTGTATAATCAGTCCCATTAATCCCTGGCAATGCAAAAATCACCCCATCTGCCCCAATCCCAAAATTCCTATCACATAACTTCGCTGCTTGCTCTGGAGTTATCTTGGGTTCACTAGAGTCCCTGTTATCAACCTGGCTCAAACAAACCAAGAAGCTTAAGAAACGCATAAAAAAGAAAAGAGAAGTTTCAATCTTTGGTTATGTTATGGAAAAGGGGATTACCAAAATGAAATCATTGCCGAGGCCGTGGTATTTGACAAAGTGAAGGTATCTTCTGCCTTCTCTTTGATCAAGAAAGGAGGTTTCTGATGAAGTTTTCTGGGTGGCTGCTGACTCGATGCTCGTTGAGGAAACTACCAGTGGCCGAAAGTTTGGGTTTTTGAGAGAGTTCAATCGAATAATAGGGAAAGAATTGAAAGAGAGGAAGAGCTGGGAATGACGAGTTGAGCGTCTTACAGAGAGGGATGTGGCGGTGGCGGCGGCAGCGGCTGCAATGGCTTCGGCCATGGCTGCTGTGGTTTTGGAGGTTTTCGGTCGTTGGGGACAGAAGAGAGAAGAAGCGGTCACGATTCTCTGTGTCTGACTTTTCAGTGTCTTTTTTAAATTTTTTTATTAATATTAATTTTCAGATCAATTTATATATATCTCAATTAATTTTATAAATCTCAAAAATAAAAATCATATATACCATCAATAAACTTGAATTTATAAAATCAAATCGCGATCTCTAAGAGCAGGTTTTCTTTTACAGGGAGGGAGGGAGAGCGTAATTAATCTTAACAAATTAAAATTGAGATTACTTTATTAATAAATTATATTTTTGCCCTTCACCTGAAAAACGAATAAACTTGTCTAGGGGTAAAAAGGTCTTTACACAGGACACATTTTTCATTCTATGATT